TATTATAGCACTCATTTTTAGATATCTAGCCTTTTGCCCCAAATACCTCAGTTCAACAGGGATATAGAATAGGTGTTCAATGCATGTTTAGTGGTTTGGCCTGGCAAAAGAGCCTATCAATGTTACACCAATATTTCAACACCCTCTTTGAGCTTCTCCTGCAAGGGACACTATATTCTTTACATCTGGGCATATCCAGCTGGCGCACTCTGCGATTGCCTCTTCCAAACTGGCTGCAATGCAAGAAGCCGGGCTGCAGGATGCCTTTAACACATTAGTTAAACTTGCCTAGCTTGTGATTGCCTCATTCCAACTTGCTACACCTAGTAACAGCTTGCAAGTCTCGCTGTTGGCTACATCAGTTGTGCTGTGATGAGTGCCCTTCTGGGTCCGGATGCTAAGGCTTATCTTAATACTGTTGCTAGCGAGCTGGGCTCTGTTTAACCTTCAGGAAGACTTGCAGGTGATACTGAGCTAAATGCTCAAGAAGATGGTAGTGTAGTCAGAGCAGATCTGGGCTTACAGGTGACCCGTACACACTTTGGCTTTACAGACTGTGAGTCTGAGCTGGTCCTTGACGTTGTGGTGACACCACACTGTCACTGCATTCTTCTCTTGAGTCATGCAGTCTTCCTAATTTGATACTCAGGTTCCTTGTAGATTGATGAATCAATGAATAGCTTGTGGTACAAGCAGCCACGTCAGGTGATAGCTTTCAGCTCTGTATTGCCAATGCTATTCTTTGACCATGTCCAGGTTTCTCTTAATGTAAATAGGACTGGAATTTTTCTCAATATTTGACTCACTGTCAGTCAATTTGTGTGTGTGTATAATTGAGTTATGTTTTACATAGATTTTAACTAACAGATTAATATTAGATAATCTAATAAAGCTTACAATTAAGATCTCGTAGATGTAAAGCCTTAAAGTAAAACAATGATCTCCATAAGCCCCACAGGAAAACCTATTTCAGAGTTAAGAGTTCCACCCAATTTCTCCGGGGCGGGGGTGGGGTGGGGTGGGGTGGGGGGGGGAGTGAGAAAGAAGCACACCAGCATTTATCTAGCAGGTCCTTTGTGTATATATCATCTCATGAATTACAATCACCCTTGGGGAGTGGGTGTTACACTCATTTTAAACATAACAAAACCAAATTTCAGTTGGCAACAGAAGTCTACATTCAGACCTTGAATTGTTTATCTCCATGCTTATTTTTTTGTAAGTTTTTGAGACAGGGTCTTGCTCTGTCACCCAGGCTGGGGCGCAGTGGTATGATCTTGGCTCATTGCAGCCTCCACCTCCTGGGCTCAAGCAATCCACCCACCTCAGCCTCCTGAGTAGCTGGGACCACAGGTGCACACCTAGTTGGTCGTTTGTATTTTTGGTAGAGACAGGGTTTTTCCATGTTGCCCAGGTTGGTCTTTAACTCCTGAGCTCAAGTCATCTGCCCACCTCGGTCTCCCAAAGTACTGGGATTACAGGTGTGAGCCACCGCACCTGGCCACCTCCATGCTTATTCACTGCCTCTCCTTCATGACTGCAAAGTGTGCTCATTGTGAGGATGTTTATAGGTATATTTTCCAGAAAACTATTTCCCACTATTAATTGTTGATTGATTCTTTAACATGCCATGGACCTCAGGTCTTCTGTGATGTGGGTGATGCTGTTGCTCTGCCTGAAATGTCAGCCTGATTCAGTGCCCTTGTGAGCTGTTCCTTATCATTCAGCTCTTATGGTACCTGTTCTTTGGAGCATTTTTTTTTTTTTTAAACGGTGTCTTGCTCTGTCGCCCTGGTTGGAGTGCAGTAGCACAATCTCCACTCACTGCAACCTCTGCCTCCTGGGTTGAAGCTATTCTCCTGCCTCAGCCTCCCGAGTAGCTGGGACTGCAGGTGTGCACCACTACGCCCGCCTAATTTTTTGTATTTTTAATAGAGACGGGGTTTCACTGTGTTAGCCAGGATGGTCTTGATCTCCTGACCTCGTGATCCGCCCACCTCAGCGTCCCAAAGTGCTGGGAGTACAGGTGTGAGTCTCTGCACCTGGCCCTTTGGGGCATTTTTAAAAAGCTATATCCCGTTTTTTTCCTTGACTATTTATTTATTGGATTTTTTTAAAAAGTAAGAGAAATACAGAGACATCTTATGTAGCAAAATAGTATGAAGGTTTGTAGAGTCATGTTTCCCCTCTTCCATTTCAGTCTTCTTCTGAAGTAATGCATTTTTTGAAATAATTTCAAACTTAAAAAATATGGAAAATAACTGTATACTCTCCATCCAGTTTCACTAATTTTTCACATTTTTCCACATTTGTTTTATCACCTTCCTCTCTTTCTCTCAATATATAAAAACATTATTTTCTGAAGTATTTGCGAGTAGCTTACATAATTCATATATCTTTATACTTTAATAATTTAGTTGTATATTTTTGAAAGCCGAAAGCATTAGTCATTTCTCTTTAGTTTTCATTAGTCTCCTTTAGTTTGAAACAGTTACCAGTCTTCATTGTCTTTCTATAATTTATAGATTATAATATTTAGAATTTATATTATAATCTTGTTCTAAATATTATAAATATTTATATTATAATAAATATTTATATTAAATATAATAAATATTATAATTAATATTTAGAACATGTAAAATAAAAATGTCATTAACATGTTATATTGCAATATATAATTATATATTCTACCATATATAATATACATATATAATATATAACATAATATATATAATATATAATATAGTATGTTATATAATTTATAACATATACTACATATGATTTATAGAGCATATTTTATTAAAAATACATAATATGTAAATAGTATATGATATATAGTATATTATATGCAAATGCATAATGTATAAGTAATAAAATGTACAAAATATATATGTTTAATGTATTATACATATAGTATATAATAATAGATACAATATTATAATTGATTAAATTATGACATATAATTATGAATCATGGTATAATATAAATTAGAATAAATTACTATGCAATAAAATTTTACAAAATATTACTACACATAAAATTTATTATAATTTATAAGTATAATATATATTTAATTCATATTTTTATAGAATGTTTCTTATGTTGAGTTTGATATTTTCTCATGATTATATTCAGGTTGTATGTCCCTGCTAGAATACTGAATGAATGAAGATTCCTTCTCAGGAATGATGATTTTAATTTGATGCCACAGTTAAGACATAGTGGGATATAATGCATTTTTCCCATATTGTTTTTTAAATTTTTTCATCTAATAAATAGTAAATAGACACTTTGAAACTCTGCTAATACTTTGCACCTCAAAAACATTCATACCCTAGGTATTTAGCATCTATTGATATTGTTGAAGATTCTTGCTTGATCCAGTCTTTACTCTTCTGGAAGCAAAATGGTTATTTTCCAACCCCACTGCTCCCTCCACATTCATTAGCTGGTTTTTTAATGAAGGAAACGGTCTCCTTTCTTTCCCATTCACTTCCTTGCTCTATGCATGTATGTACATATGTATGTATCCACTCATTCATTTATGCATATACAATTATGCATTGCTTAATGATGAGGACATGTTCTGAGAATGAATTGTTAGGTGATTTTGTCATTGTGCAAACATCATGAAGCATACTTACACAAACCTGGGTGGTATGCCTATTGCTCCTAGGCTATCATACTGACGACTGTAGGCAACTGTAACACAATGATAAGTATTTGTGTATCTAAATGTATCTAAACATAGAAAAGGTACAATAGAAATATGGTATTATAATCTTGAGGGACCACCATCATATATGTGGCTTTTTGTTGACCTCAATGTCATTATTCGATGCATGGCTGTATTTATTATTAGTATAGACTAATGGATTTCATTTTCAGTGGTTTATAATATATTATTGTCCGCATTTATTTCAATATCCAATTTGCCTTAAATTTGTTCAATGGGGGCCCCTTGTTTCTGGCTTCTGTGCCCTTTTCACTGTTGATTTATAAGCATTTTCTTACTTTCTGACATAAAATGATCCAAGTTCCTCTTGAATTTTCCCAGCCTCAGCCCTGGTATCAGCCAGTTTTCCAAGAAGATGATGTACTCTTAGAAATGGTTTGTGGTTAGTGTCAAGTTGGCCTTTGCTACTGAGGTATTATATTTATAGGCTCTTTCAGTGATAGAGCTAAGAAAAATATGCACACATGCACGCACCCACACTTGCACACATATACTCATATATGGCAATCATGAGTTCAAAGTCATTCCCCTTTTTGTTTATTTATTTTTTGAGACAGGGTCCACTCTGTTGCCCAGGCCGAGTGCAGTGGCACAATCACAGCTCACTGCAGCCCTGACCTCCAGGGCTCAAGCAATCCTCCTACCTCAATCTCCTGAGTAGCTGGAACTACAGGCCTGTGCCACCATGCCTGGCTAATTTTTGTATTTTTTGGAGAGATGGGGGTTTGCCATGTTGCCCAGGCTGGTCTTGAACTCCTTAGCTCAAGTGATCTGCCCGCCTTGGCCTCCCAAAGTGCTGAGATTACAGATGTGAGCCATCCTGCCTGGCCCCATTCTTGTTAAAAGTATTGATTTTCAGCTTACTTTTTTCTAGTCCTCTATAATATTGTCTGCTCCATTAGCATTATGGTACCCAGAAGAACACAGTGTCTGGCTCTCAAATATTGCTCAAAAATTTTAAAAAATAATTAATGAATAATTTTTGGTGCCGTGAATTGACTCTCTAAGAAGACAGCTTAAAAACAAAGTGTGGAAATCTTGCCCCTCCCATCTTCTTTTTCCTTGCATAAACTCGTTATTAAATATATATGATAATCAGAGGTGGTTAGTCATATAGCAGAACTTGAAGGACAGTGAGTTTTCTGTTTTATTATATCTTTCATTTACCTAAAAACAAATACATTTCTGTAATATATTTGTGTAATGGTTTTCTGAAAGTAATTATCCAAGGTTTTCACTTTTTATTATTTTAACTTTCAAGGTGGCTGGGATTGTTGGCAGAGCTGACGTGTTAGCGTGTCTGCTGTTTCTGTTGGCCTTTCTCTCCTACAACAGGTATGTGTGACTAAGAGTGCCTTTCTCTGTGATTGCAACTGTGCCATGTTTTTAGACTGTGAGCACGTGCCTGAGAGGAAAGAGGCTTCTGATTGTGAAGTACTCAACAAGTTTTCCAGGGACCAGGAATAGGACTCTTGCTCCTTATTCAACGCTGGGCCATTTTCTCTTCCAACCCCATTCTGAACCACTTTGTAGCATCTCAAAGGGATTGCTTTCCTAGTGCTGGGAACCTAAGCTCTTGTTTTTTCATTCCTTTTATTTGTAGTTTCTTACTGAGAATTGAATTTGGGATCTTAGCTCTGAGCCAAAATGTATTAGATGCAGTGCTCTCTTTTATTTTTCTATGATTTGTTAATTCTTCCTTTTCATTTTGGTCTGAAGTTTTTTTTCTTTCTTAGCCTCACCAAAGTAACTCAGAGCTTAAAACAATAAATAAAGCTGAGCATAAAGTAGTATTTCTTGACTTTAGTTTTTCAATTTACATATAGTTTCATCAAAATACAGAAGTTTTTTGTGTTTGGAAACTGAAAAGCATTAAAATAATTTGCTATTATATTGCACCTTTACTGTAAATCAAATCAGATTCTCACCTGAGTCATGCCGTGTCCATATAGATAAAGGAGATAATTAAAAAGAGAATATGAATGGGGGCAGCATGGCCTGTGATATGGTTTGGCTGTGTCCCTACCCAAATCTCACCTTGAATTGTAACCCCCACAAATCCCATGTGTCCTGGTAGGAACCTGGTGGGAGGTAACTGAATCATGGGGCCATATCTTTCCCATGCTGTTGTCATGATAGTGTATAAGTCTCATGAGATCTGATGGTTCTAAATCGGGAGTTTTCCTGCACAAGCTCTCTTTGCCTGCTGTCATGCATATGAAACGTGACTTGCTTCTCCTTGTCTTCTACCATGATTGTGAGGCCTCCCCAGCCATGTGGAACTGTAAGTTCAATAAACCTCTTTCTTTTGTAAGGCTCAGTCTCAGATATGTCTTTATCAGCAGCGTAAAAACAGACTAATACAGCCTAGAAAAAGTGGGCAGGTCAACCACGTTGCCCAATTTCATAGAGATACGCTTGATTAAGCATTCGGTGGCCCTGATCTTTGGATCAGTTCATTGACCTATAGGCTTACAAACCCCAGTGACTGAGGAACACTGTTCTAAATCAGTGGTTCTCAATAAGGGTTGATTTTTCTCCTCTTCCTAGACACTACCTCCTCTACCCACAGGAGACATTTGGCAATACCTGCAGACGCCTTTGGTTGTCACAACTCGAAGAAGTGCTCATGGCATCTAGTGGGTAGAAGCAAAATATGTTGCTGAACAGACGTCCTGCAATGAACAGGACAGTACCTACAACAAAGAATTCTCTGGCAGGAAATGCCAATGGGGCTGAGATTGAGAAACCTGTTACAAACCAATTTAGACTTTGAGTCAATAATGAAATGAATTCAGTCTTAAGAAGTTTTGTTTTGTTTAAAGGGTGGAACATTTTCTTAGCATAGTGCAATTCTTCTTCTTCCCCTGGCTTTGCAACTTCCTACTGCATTCTTAATCATATGATGTGAGTGTTATGAAACCTGAAAATATAAGCCAAAATTTAACAGTTAATTGTTTCTTGTTTACTCTGGCATTAGAATAGAAGGAATAATTGCTTTGGAGTTTAAACTTGTTCTCTCAGCCCTATTCTGTGTGGTTAATATATTTGGGTGCATGATTAGGCCTGCAGCGTATCCATATCTGTATGATAATGAGCCATGTTATTACAGATTTGTTTTGCATGCCATTCTTACTTTCAGAAATTTAAGCTATAGACCAACTCAATAGAAAAAAAGCCTATCTACTGCAAATTTTGCATATAATCTTGTTTGGTTGTTCTAAGACATAACACTAAGGAGAAGGCGTCTGAACTACAGAAATATTGGCTTTTACTTCAAAGGAATAGGAGGCAATAGGTGTGGTACCTGCTGAAGGGAACAGTGATATTTCTTGGTAGGGGCCGGTTCTGTTTTACAAGGCGAAACAAAGGCTTAATAGCACTGGAGAGCTTTTGAAAATCCTTGTTGGAAATTAAACTGAGAAAAGAAATAAATTTTACTTAAGATATCCTCATAGAAAAATGAATTTTAAAATTTTGGCTAAATGAATTTAGCCAAAAGAAAAACATAGGTTAAAATAGTTGCATTTTCATCCCAGAGAGAAATGCTGAGTATATTTTGGCATATATATCCACTGGCAACTTTGTTTTATGTATGGAAGCGTATAAAACACTTCACTAACATAATGATGGTGATAAACACTTGATGTGTAAACGAGTCATTTGTTTAATTCCCCCCTACAACAGTTATCCCTTTCACACATAAGGGAACTGAAGCACCAAGAAGTAAAGTAACTTGCCCCATATTACCCTGTTAATTAACTGCTGTGGTTAGCAGGGAACCGAGGGAACCTGGCTCCTGAGCTTATGCATATGGTTTTGTAACTCGATTATTCACTTAGAATGTATTCACTTAAACATCTTTTCGTGTGACTAAGTATGTCCCTGGTAGAATTTTAAATGGCTTTTTAGTGTTCATTTATTACCTACCATAGTCTGTGTATACTATGATTTAAGTACCAAATTTATTATTGTTGGGATAAAGACTCTTTAAGAAATCTCTGCTCACCTGCTTAATTACTTAGAATACAAGGAAATTGACATTAGATCTTATCTTTAACAGGTGGTATTTCTTAGCAGCCCTCATTCCTTCTGAGATTAAAAGAATCTCCAACTTGTTTTTCAGGAGTCTGGATCAGGGCTGTGTTGGGGAAAGTTTCCGTTCCACGGTGTCTCCCTTCTTCTTGCTGCTCAGTTTGCTTCTGGGGACCTGTGCAATGCTGGTGAAAGAGACAGGCATCACGGTGTTCGGAGTGTGCTTGGTTTATGACCTGTTTTCCCTTTCCCACAAGCAAGACAAGTCGTAAGTCACTTTAAAGTTTTGATATCAAACGGCGTGACATGGGAAGAGAAGAATTACTTAAAACAATAGTTTCCAAACTTCCATATAAAAAATACAAGTATAACATTTTATTGAATGTCACCTTACCTCAGACTGTCTCGTAACTAACGAAGCTTATTTCATTAAGATAAGTGCATTATATATGCTCAAATGCTTCACACTTTCATATAAATCAATGAGGACTATGAAGTTTTTGTGAGCCCCAAATTTGGAATTAAAAAATCTCTATGTTAATTGCAAGTTTATATTGCTGGCTTGTTTTGGTTGCATGCTGCTGAGAAAATCTTGATTCGTGTAAGTAAGTGATTGCAAATGGTAACAGCTTTTAACAGCTTGCTTTGGATCCCTGTATTTGCATGAGTGTTATCCATCAAAGAGCCCCTTTGCCTGCTCTTCTAATGATGCTGTTACCTAAGAGTTTCAGGAGTGCCCATTGGAATTTCACAAAGAGCCAGTCTATACCATGCAGGAGTACATACACGTCGTATTCAAATTAATGAACAAGCGTATTTAGTAGCCCAATTTATTTTAAAAATTTAAGGCACATTCATTTTGTGTTGTGGCTTATAGATGATAAGAATCACTAACGCATATTAAAAGTTCAAACACATACTATAATTTCCTTCCCCATCAAATCCATAATTACCAGTAATTTTGCAAGCAGACCCCATTTTTCAGTAATTATAAGGTCCTTACTTTTAAAACTTTTAAAAGATGTGGCTAATTTATTCTTCTGCCTTATCAAATGAAGAATTTTATCTTAAAAAAAAATCCTGCTTTTTAAATCCCTTTTCCTACCTCTTTATACTTCTTGACGTAAAGATAAGAGCAGTGCTATTGAGTGGTAACAAACTGAGATGAGTCAGGAAATTGATTACCTTCTTGCCTGGGAGTGTGATAGTTGGGGATAATTTAAAAAGAGTATAATGCTGTGTTGGGTCTCTGTAAGTCTCAGAGGCTTGTAAAATCACGGAGCCAAATAAACACTTTGACCCAAACTCATGCCGAGAAAACCATGAGCCATAGGCACTCACTCCCTTTGGCCTATATGAGGATGCCTTTCCTCCCTATCCTCTAACCAGTGGGAGTAATTGCATTGCCCATCTTACTTTTCAGAAAACAAACTATAAACCCCTTTCTACTTCCTTCTTGCATCTACCTTGTTTCAACATCCTTCTTTCTGCTGTGCCTCACTGATAGCGAAAAGATAAGACAGATAACTGCAGATGCGTTCTCTCATGTGGTCCAGTCCAGAGCTATTTTAATGTTGTCATTGAAGTCATGTCTCCTCTGGTCTTGCGACTCTCCAGCCCATGGGTGCCTACACCTCCTTTTTTCTTCTTCATGTAGTCACTGTTGAGCCAGGCCTTTTTCAAAAGGGATAACTGTCTCTTTTCTTTCTTTGATAATCTTTCTTAATCTTCATCAAACTAAACACTCAGAAATTCATTGGGAGGGTAATACTGCTGACAGAAGTCCTACAACTTAGTCTGTTTTGTTTTTTTTTAAGAAGCTTTTAGCTTTCATATCCAGCGGTGCTGCTGCCTAAGTGGAGGCATTCATTCTTCATGCTTTTATCCACCCATTCAATACATGTTCATTCTGCCTTGCCAAGAGCAAGACAGATATGGTTCCTTCCAGCAAAAAGTACATAAGATGTTGGTGGAGACAGACATTATGTGAGTAATTCGATGAGTGATCGATTACAGTTGTGAAAAGTGGTAGGCAGGAACCAGAGGATATAACACAGAGACCTGGCCAAAAATGGTTGATATCACCTAAGGGCTGGCCCTGGCACTGTGCCATGCTATTTGCTTGCAACAACCTTTATCCTCATTTTACAGAGGAGGAAACAGAAGCACAGAAAGTAATCCTCCCCACAGTCAGCCAGCCCAAGGGGAGCCAGGAGTTGGACCCATGTCCATGTGGCTCCAGGTCCACAGGATTAGCCCTGAGCACCATTGCCTCCCAGGAGGAACACATGACAGGGACTCAAGAGACCTCGCAGGACATCTGCTGCTCAGGCATCATGAGACAGTTACCCAGCTCAGAGGTTCTGCGTATTTGGGGGATCATGGACTCTTGAGAATTTCACAAAGTTTTGTCCCCAGAGGAATGCACATATACACAGAGTTTTACACAATCACTTAGGGGTCTACTCCCCAGTCCCCACTTTACCTGCTAATTTGGAGTAAACATCTTAGCACTAGGTGGTTCTTGAGAGCTTTCATTGTATGATTTAGGAAGCAGGAAAGAAACAGTGATAGAAACAAAATGCTGCAAGTACTTTCCTACAAGAGGCACAATTTATTCTTAAATTTTAAGATTGGGCCACATAGATGGAATGTGATTTTTTCTATGTGACATCGTCTTTAGGAGGAAAGATTTTCAGGAAAAGACCAGCTCCTGAAAGCTACCTTTCTTTTTTAAAAACATAGGATATAATTTCCAGCATCTAGAAAGTAACATTCCCTGCCCACAGTCATCCTCTCTCTCCAGAGGGAATTACAATCCTGAATTTGGCACTTTTCATTTCCGTGATTGTTGCTAGCACTTTGCTTCATATACACACATACCAGTGAATATCAAAAGTATTATTTTACATATTTGCAAACTTTACATAAATGGCATTGCTTGCTTTTTTTTTCCATTCACCATTGGGCTTTTGAGATTTATCAGTGTTGATTTACGTAGCTATATTTCATTTATCTTAACTGCTATATAGCATATAGTTATCATTATCCATTTTTCTGGGTTTGGAATTTAGGTTATTTCCACATTTTTGCTATTATAAACTATGCTGCAGTGAAATTTCTGTGCATACATTCTTGTGCAAATATATGAAGGTTTCTTTCAGGCATAATCATGGAAGTGTAGTTGCTGGGCAAAGGATAGATGCATGTTGACTGCATCACACCCCAAGACACTGCTGCTGAAATGCTTCTAGCAGGAATGAAAATCCCCTTTGTTTCACTTTCTGACCATCCCTTGGTAGTATCAGATGTTTAAATTTTTGCCCATCTCGTGGTTATGAGTTATATCTCAGAGAATTCATAACAGAAAAAAATGTAATTATTGGATGGTTCAGCTATGAGCAATATCTTACAAGATCATAATAATGTAAATCCTTAATACCACTTCAACCAAATATTCTGAGATAAACCTATTTGGAGGGTAAGGGGTGAAGTGTGTGTGTGTGTGTGTGTGTGTGTGTGTGTGTTGGTGGCCATCTAAGAAAGACTCAGTTATAGTGTTGTATAACAGTAAGTCAATACGATAAGTTTTAAAATTGAAAAAATATGTATAATTATGTTGTTTTAATAATATGGCAATAAATGTCAGAAACACAGGAGCTAAAGACTTGAGAATGATTGTTTCCAGGAAGCAGGACTTGTGGGTGGGGCGGGGTACTGCTGTCTGCTGTTGCAAGCCTTGTCACTCTGTTTGACTTTGTCTTCCCTCAATTCCATACATAACAGGAGCAATGGGGCCCTCTGTCCACATGGCCCACAGCAGCCCGGGAGCCCCCAGCCCTCCTCACTGCCAGGCCATCCTCACCGAGAGAACGGGAAGCACCAGCGTTTCCCTCACAAAGGAGCTTGGGGTGGCTGCCACTCTCCTCTGCCACCGGAACCCAAGAGCAGTGGATTCCCGGTATCCCCACCAGCTGTGTGGTCCATGATGAGGTACTGGGCTGGGTTTCTTGGTTCCTGCATGTTTTCAACGTCCAGCATTACCTAGTGCAGCCTGGGATGCCTGGGGAATTGAAGCACTGAGGCAGCACACTGTGACCTCCCTCTCTTCATGCTTCCATCCTTCCCTTCTTTCTGTTCCCTTTTCCCTCTTTTCCTTCCCTGTAATACAATGGATAAGAAAGGAGTAGTTAGATGAAGCAAGTGGAAGCCGTGCTGTCTGCCTGTGATGAGGTGTGGGTCTGTGCAGCTTCAGGCATCAGAAGGCACCCTTTGTTTACTAGGGGAGGAGGGTGTTCTCCCTCTGCTTCTCCTGCCTCTCTCTGCTCTTTGTGCTTGATCTGAATTTATTACAATGCAGATATGGGAGGAAACCCAGAGGACTCTTCCTTTCTGAAATGTTTTTGACGATGTCTGAAAATCTTTAGTGCACATGATTGTCTTTTCTTCTTTATTTTTTAATATTTTGACGTAGCCATGAAAATTAGCATGGATTTATCAGGACAGGTGTTGCTCACTAACTTAATTTGTCTCCAAAATAGCTCAGGCCATGTGCAAATCAGAACATAACAGATATATGCTAAAAGATAAACTTAGGCACATTAAAAAGCTAAAGCGTTTATTTGAGCAGACAGTGATTAATGAATTGGGCAGCTCCAGACCTCTGAGGTTTGGGGCTCCCCTGCTGAGGCAGGAGGGAAAGTTTTTACAGGGCGAAGGCAGAAGCAGAGCAAAGGAAATATTTGATTGGTTAAAGGGGAGCAGTATCCCCATATGGATCATTCGAGTGGAAAGTTCCTAGTTAGAGGTTAGTTAGTGGTTAAGCTTGATTTCATTTTACCATTTACACTCAGTTGGGTTTCTCTGCCTATGTAGGGCTACAGGTTGCCAGAGACCCCTCAGCCTAATGACCTCCTAATTATTTTAACATATGGAAATTTCATTCATAGGATTAGCACTTTACCACTTCAGATTGCTGTTCTTACTCTTCTGTACACAGTCCCTTAGAATTCCTTCCTTCTGTAGTATTGGCTTTCAGTTATTCTCACCTTTGCCTGTGTTTTTTTTTTTTTTTTAATCTGGCCCCATTCATTCATTCTTTTGTTCATTCATCAATAAATATCTGTTAAGTGGCTGAAAAGTGCCAGGCATGTTCTAGGCACCAGGAGTGTCCTGGTAAATAAGAAAGACAAGGTCCTTGCTCTTGTATAGCTTTCCTTCTAGTAGGAGAAGGTAGATAATAAATAATCCACAATGAATGAACAATGTGAGTGCTAAGAAGAGAGTAAGGCAGGATGTGATGGAGAGAGATGGCTTAGCCTGAAGGCATTCAGGTTGGTTGGCCAAGGAAAGCTTCTGAATCCTCCTGAATGAGGTTAGGAGCCAATAAAGGTGTGCAAAGATCTGGCAGAGGGTTCTGGGCTTGAGGGTTATGAGCAAAATGGGAGAAGAAGGGGTGAGGGCAAGGATTGGGCAGGGCACAGGGGAAGGACTGTGCTGGCTGTGGAAGCAGGTTTGGATTTTATTCTGAGGGGAATGGGAAGATGTTGAAGTTTTATTATTATTTTTAAGTATAGGCAGACATGATTACATTTCTTTTAAAAACATTCCTTCTGGCCTCTTTGTGATGCAGGATGTTGGGGACAATCACGAAGAAGGGAAAAGGGTTAGGAGGCTTTTATACAAGCTGAGTGAGGGAAAGGGAGTCTTAGCTGAGTGTCATGGAAACTGCAATGAAGAGATGAGCTGGATTTGAGATACGCTTCTGATACAGACCCAACAGGACTTGCTAGTGTTTGTGATGATGGGGAGAGGGAAAGGAAGAAAACAAGGATTTCCAAGTTTCTGGCTTAACCAAGTGGGTGGATGGTGGCATTAGTTACTAAGAGGAAAAATTAGGGGAGTAGTAGGTTTTCTGGGGGTTGGAGAGAGAACAAAATCACATTAATGCGGAAATTCCTGAGGAAAAGGGAAGAGGAATAAAGGGTTAAAGCATTGAGAAAATCTTGACATTTTTGTTGAGGGCCATGGAGGGAAAGAAGGTGAAACAATTGGGGAAATTGTGAATTTTTTTAGTGGAGGCTAAAGAGGTGGGGGAAAGGAGTATAGAGATCATTGGAGACATTCAAGGTGGGACAGAAGCTAGGCTGCCACGTGACTATGAACTCGGTTGGGGCAGGTTCATGTCAGGGTGTGTCACAGATGGGTTGCCAGCTCCTGTCACAGGGTCTGGCCAATAGCACCTGCTTAAATAATTGCAACATGGATCAGTTGATGAGTGGATGATAAGGAAGTGTTGGAAATTAATAATAGTGGGACATTTCCAATAAATTTGCCAATGAAGAAATGAGGAAAAGATTGTTAGTGGAAGGAATGTTCATTTTTCTTTCCAGTTTTATTTTATATTTTACGGATGTGTGTGGGTGTACGTGCACGTGCACACATGTGTGTGTATTGTTAGATGACCAGCACACACCTGTTATGTGCTGCTAATTGTTTAATAACTGGCTTTCCAAAGAAAGGGACTCCTGATTTGTAGTGTTTCCTAATGTAAATACTCCCACTGTGGCTGATTTCAAGCTACGAGTGTGACTTCACTGACCATGGCGCCGTGAGGGCTGTGTCGTAGCCCGCCGTGATGCAGTATTTCTATCAGATAGATGCAATAGACACAAATAACCTCAAAAACATAGGTCATAGAAAAGTGAAGCAAAAACCAACTCAAGAATAATGAGCTTTGAGTATTTAGTACCTTGTTTAAAATATGACATTTAATTTTAAGTTTATATCATTTAATTTTCAATAATGGCTGTTTTTTAAATAAGTGGCTTTTAAAATTCCTACAGATTTAATAGTCAGCTCTTCCAAACCAGTGTCAGCCAGCTCTAGCACAGCAGTGAGAAGGTCCCTCAGGAGGGGGAAGAAAACTTTCTGTTATCCAACTACTGTGTACCAGGAAGGCGGCCAGCCTGTCCCATATGTTATCCCATGCAACCACTGTGGTATCTCTTTTAGGCTAAATATTGCAACTCCCATTGCTGTAAGGAAACTGAGGATTAGAGGTTAAAAAACCTTGTCCAAGTTCATGTAGTAAGTGGTAGGGTCAGGATTGGAACCCAGGCTGTTTGACTCCTAAACTTGTGCTTTGCTCATTTACTATGCTCTAAAGTCCAGAGTCCAGGGCGAGGGCTAAGCTTTGGGGAAGAGGCAGAGTGCTTGTATCATTTATATGTGGAGCTGGCTTCTCCATTGAACTCTCAGCAGGTACAAAGATTCTTGCAGTCACCTCTGGCTCCACAAATGAGACACCTCTTGACTTGCTTCAATATGGGTTATTGGTGATAATATATCAAGCTAGGTGACATACCTTATAGATTACTTTTTCGTTTTTTTTAACCTCAAGTAGCAGACTATTTTAGAAAATGATGATTGGAGAGCAGTAGATAGCACAGCTGGAATTGGGCCAGATTCTCACTAAGTTAATGTGTTTGTGGGCCAGGACCATCTTCCCTCCATAGAAAGGAAAGTTGTCATATATCTTTGCTCTTTGGGAAAAAAAAAAAGGTGTCATACATTTGAGTATAAATTCGATTACTGTTACAATTACTTTTGAAAACTGTGCTTGTACTTTTTTCTGAAGGTGATCAGGTAAAGCAAATAAAAGTTAGAAGAGGCAACGTCATCGTAGTTCTGAAGATCTCTGACTCTGCAGACAGAGCATTTAAATCATGGCTCCATCACTTACTTGATCCTGGACAAGTTATTGACCTCTGTGAACCTCAGTTTTCTCATCTATCAAAGGGGAAAATGATAGCAGCACGTTACTCATACTGGGTGTCAGGACTAAAAGCATTAGTACACATATTAAGCATATAATTGGTGCCTGGCATACTGTGGCCACTCAGCACATGGAAACCAGCAGCTTCATTATTATTAGTTTACTATTCTGAATATTATTTTCTCTGTTTGGGTTTCCAAACACTGGGATGCATGGTAAAAATGCTGAACCTGCAGTATACAGGCAAGAAATGAGTTTGTTTTTGTTTTTTTTTAATGGTTCAACTTCAAAACTATTAGGACATAGTCATATTGGATGCATTGGTGTGAGATTGACAAGAATTGGGCTAAATGTTATCAGGCAAAATATTGTTTTCAGAAACTAAGTAATACAGGGAAAAAATCTAAGCCCAGGAAAAATATCCTACTGCAGGTCATTGATTTGGTTTGCCTGTTTTTATGTGATTTAGTGATTGACTTATGGGTAGAAAGTATAATGAAAAGCCTAGAGTTGAGAGTACCTAGTCTAAAATCAGATGACATTTTAGTTCATGCTTCTTTTACTGAATTATTCCATGGGAAATGAGAAATGTTTTATGTGTAAACACCCCCCAACATCTTAAATACATCAAATTCATGCACACATGAGCCCACTTTCCCTTTCACATTAGAAAGCCTAGTGAATTCTAAATGAAATCCTATCTTCATTCCATATACATCAAGTATATACACACCTATATATGTATAGTCATTCTTCATATATACTTGATAGGTTTCATGTTTAAATGACAATGACCACAATAGACATTAAAGACAGTTCTTGGCTCAATAAAAATTCTCGAACATTTCCTCTTTCCTCTGCTGCCCTTCAAAGTATGGTATGGATCATTCGTTCATTCAGTACTGTTTGCTGAGCACCTACTATATGTCAGGCACTATTTTTGGTGCTGAGAATATGGCAGTGAAATAAAGCCCTATTCTTGTGAAAGTTTATGGGATGATGATTATGATATTTCTATATAAAATGAACTCCTTTTCTACTTTTTGGGCAAGTTAATGGTTAGATTTTCATTTCAGTGGCTTTTAAAAGTTTTTTTTTTTTTTTTTTTCTGTAAATACCTTGCACATAGGCTTGCAAATAAAAAAACTAAAACAAGTTTAGGACTAGAGAACAGTTTGGCACTAAAGTGAATTGTAAGGTAATTAATTCAAGGGAT